GTTGGTCAAGTGTAGGGAAGACGATCGATCGTGTGTCACATGACAAAATACTCCACGATTCGTGGAGTATTTCACCAGCGTGTCCCAGGGTCTTCTCCGCGCCCAGCCGCCATCTTGAGAGCGGAGTAGACCCTGGGAACGAGGTTGTAAAAAGTGCTGATCAAGCAATTCAGGTCAATGATTTTTGCCGAATCAACAGAATTCACGGTCGAGTAAAGTTTGGGAAACCGAGTATCAGGGCTCGTGTAGGTCCTTGAAATCCTGGAAAGTCTTCGCATTTTGTTCTGGCATTTTCCAGGACTGAAAAGTTCTGGAAAATTAGTATTTTTTTATAGTTCCTGCCTTACTACTCCGACGCCCTCATTTCCTCAATATTTGTTTTACTTTCGTGGTAAAATTCCTACCAATACTTTTTCAGTCAATGTATTGCTATTTCCTAATTTTCTATTTGTCGTGGTGCAATGTTCTATGAGGATGTTAGTACTTAACAATTATCCTGTAAAATCGCGCGGAATATCCGCCTCAGTGATACTTAGCCGACGAGGCCGTAGGCCGAGTTGGCTAAAATCAGACGATATTCCACATTATTATATGGCAAACTGGTCCACGATGAAAAGGAGCATTCTGATTGGTTCCCTGAGCGGTCCGAATTTTGCAATACGGACCGCATAGATGGACCGCTTACGAACTCATTTCGCCAAATTCCTTTTATGAAACATTGAACAAAAGAAAACTGTTTTCTATAAGTAGAAACATTTTCCCTCATGTCTGGCGGACAATTTTGGTTAAACTTTTCGCAAAGTGGCCTGAAAAATGCAAGAATATGCTTAGCTTTGGCGCGCGCGCGTTAGCCGAGAATGGTTACATTAATTTCTCAGCAAATTTTTTAAAAAGCCATTATAATAAAAACTTTATTGAACTAGCTTTTCAACAAGTCGCAAAATAAAAGCATCGAAATGTTCTTGAAGTCCTCTCAAATTCAGCAGTGCTTTCCGATATATCGGACGAGCCTTCTTGAGCCGTGCACTTCCAAATATGGAATATGCCATGACAGATAACAAGGGCTTCTTGACCATATATGGGCATCGTGACAATTTGTTGAATAATAAAACTAAATCATTATTCGTACTCAATACGTACATTATTTAATATATAATTGTTTATTTATATTAAATGAGATATTACCCTTTTAAAGAATGAACTAAGTCAGGGGTATCTGTAAATTTTCGGCTTTTAAAAGCCTTTTGAAAACCCGAAGGGTTTTTGCGGTGCATTCCATGCTAGTCTAGATAATTAGAAAAGGGACTTTGTGCATGTGCCCATACTCATGATAATAGCTATAGATAACATTGGTTATAGATTAGTCATGGCATTGAATTCAGCGGTTTTCAATTGAGTGTCATAAAACCAAAACCAAAGCAATTACAATGACCAATCACAACAAACGAAAACAATACAATGAACCAATGAGAACTCAAAGCAAATACACGTAACCAGTGCCAAGCGCGGGAAAACGCGTGTAACCAAGCCGCGATTGGTTTTGGTGGCGCGAGATTTTTAAACCAATCACAGAGCTTAGTAATGTAAAACCACAGCAATTCCGGATTACTTTCAACACTCAATAGCCCTTTTCACGGTTAATTTGCGATATTTGCAAAACAATACACTTGAACATAGAAGCGAGGCAATTTCAGGAACAAGCTGCAAAACATCGTGTTTTTCTTGAGCTCCTTCAACTCTTTTAGTATAAAAACAGTTTTAATTAAAGTGTAGAAGAACTACAATTCTTTTAGTTTACGTTGTTTTTAGAATAAATTGTAAAACGACTTTTCTCTATTAATAAAGAGTAAGCTCGCATAAGCAACAGGGCGATCGGATTACGATCTTTACGGCAAACGTTAACTAAAAGAGTTACATATTTAGTTCTTCTCAGTTTTAAAACTATTTTTATGCTAACATAGTTTAAGGAGCTCAAGAAAATCACGATGTTTTACAGCTTGTGCCCGAAATTGCCTCGCTTCTATGTTTAGCTGTATTGTTATGCAAATATTTCAGGTTAACCGTGAAAAGGGCTTTTGAAAACCGCTCGAATCATATCCTATAATGAAGAGTTTTACGATACTTATTGCATGTATATGGGGCACACACATTTCCGGTAGTAATTGTTCGTTCGAATGTCGAACGTTTCTACATTAACTAAGATAAGTGATACACTCTTCATATTCTACATCAGCTCATTAAGAAACTTATTTGTAAGCATGCAGATTTACATCCCATTTGGATCAAAATTAGACATCATTGAATCATGATTATAGTGGGAGATGCGGTGGCCTAATGACAGTTAGCGCGTGGACTCCGGTTCGAGCCCTGGCCGGGGTCATTGTGTTGTGTTCTTGGGCAAGACACTTAACTCTCACAGTTCCTCTTTCCACGCAGGAGTATAAATGGGTACCAGTGAATTGTTAGGACAACCTGACAAAAATGCTGGGGGAGGGTACCTGCGATGGGTTAACACTCCATCCCATCCAGGGGAGTAGCGATACTCCTAGTCGTGCTATGGAAACTGGAGTTAAGCGCCGTCCTTATAAGCCACAAGGCGTGTAGAGATACTTTAACCCGTTACCTTTTCTAATATTATAGTTCAGAGAATCGAACGTTTTGTACAGTTTTAATCAACCAATCCTTTCTTGAGCTGTTCGTGATTGTTTAGTTGCTTGGTTTTGTGAAATAAATCTTCCTTAAAATGATCAGACATCACGGCTAAGTAGTGAGTTTGTACTCGGGGGTCAGTAGGGGGGGGGGGGGGGGAGGGCCTTTCATATTAGAGGAATTTCAGGGAATTCGATCCGATCAAATGCCTGATTTGCGCAAAAATTATTTGCTGTAATAAAAATTATAAGATATCTAGTAAAAGATTCTACTGCTTAAGTCTGACGAATGTGATTGGATTTGTTACCTCGCCTAAATCTTCCCTACGACCTTATGCGCCTTCTGGCGCGGAGAGATTTTAGGTGAGGGTTAATATTCCCCAGCACGGCCCCAATCCTGAAATTTGATCAATAAAATCGCAACCTAATATCGAACGTTCGCAATTCATAAATCGCACAGAAATTCAATTTTACGACCGCGGTCAAACGTAGTATAAACAACAAACAAACCTTAACTATAATGGACAAATAATTAAAAAAAACTTGTTTGGTAAACGTCCAAAAAAGGTAAATGCTGGAAATATTGCGCGACACCGGATTTCCTTTAAAATTTTGCGCGGGAAATTGGCGCGCGGGCGATAGGGTTAGCCGGATTATGCCGGCATAATTTCGGGCATAATGCTATATCTAGAGCATCGGGCAAAATGCCGGTATAATGATGATATTTTGCAGCAAAATAGTGTTATGTTCCAGTTGAGAAAGCCTTTGGATTAAAATAGAAACTATCTAGATTCTAGACTCATTTCCAGTACATCTTTACATAGTTGGAGGCCTGGTTACCTCATTGGCGGCCTGGTTATCTCATTATGCCAGGCAACCAAGGCAGGGAACTTGTTTTTGAAGGGAAAAATTGTGAAATTTAACCGGCATAATTTGGAGCATAATACAACCATCCGAGCATAATTCTGAGCATAATGCTCCGTTTTCAAGGGTGACGCCCAAAAGCTAATCCGGCTAACCCTAGCGGGCGACCAGAATTTACATGTTTGCGCATGCTCGAGTATTTGATCGCGGTGAAAACTGATCTAAGAGCGGTCGTATCGATCCATCAAAACACAAGTGCTGTAAAACGTTTTAACTGCCGGCATGGATTCAGCAATTCCCCACCCCCGGGACACAAACTGCACCGTTTCACAAGAAGACAGAAATATATATTACGTTTTACAAAATAGACGTGGACTCCCGAGTATGGTTCCAAAGGTCAGGAAACATCTCTCCCGTTGTTTTTGTTTCTTGCCCGCGTTTCTTTGGCTTTTATTAATTAAACGCTTCTCTCTTGCGGTTTTTTCAAATACAGGTTTGATAAACTTTGAAAATTGCTTTCCTCCAACCAGCCGCATACAAATTGAAGGGATTCCCTAGCAAAGAAGTCCGCTCGCCAATTTCGCCCCATAATTCCTTGCGCGACTAGATACTTCAACTATTCCCACTCCCTACCCCGGGACAAGACTAACTTGCAAAATTCCCCACCCCCGGGCCACAAGGGCTGACTTTGTTTCGGGGGTTGACCGGGGGGGGGGGGGGGTGCTAACAGTAGGAATTGAACCCTGCATTAGATCATCCTCTCTTGCTAGGTGATTATTTTGGTCTGGGTCAAGATTGTTTTATTTGAAGTGGCATTGTTCAGGAATGCTCCTTTTAGAAAAATAGCGAGACAAGCTCCAAACCCAAATTACAGCGGAAGGGGTGTTACACGCACAATTTATTCTCTTGAACTTGTGTCACAATGGCATTGCTTAAGCATAGTTAATAGAGGGAAATGGTTATGAAGCCCGGCAAAGTTCTTTGTTATATGTTTTTGTTCGCTATTTTTGGGTTTGACCGTGCACAAACCTGACAAAATACAATAGGTGGCTACGTGTGTTCAAGCAACTAACCAATAGAAACGTTGTGATTACGTAATTCATGCATAGTGTATGAGCTCAAAACAAAAGATGTGCACGGTCATAGACCTTCCAACATAAATCTTGTTCTCTTTGTTTGCTCCTTTGAAGTTTGCCGGGTTTCATAACCATTTCCCTCTATTAACTATGCTTAAAGTGACCAACAGCTCATTTTTCCTTACAACACCCGATACATTACCAAAGAATAAACAAAATTGTCAGCTATAGGGGATATCGTCTTGATGTACCACCAAATTCTCTGAACTAATGTTAAAGCAAATGTATGGCGATCAGAACTAGACTTGAGCTTGGTATTGATATGGTCATGATCCACCCGGAGGAAAAATACCTCAGTTTTGTACACCTCCAGGCATATTGCACAAATTCATTCAGCTATTCAATTACTTGAGACGCGCGGTGGCCTAATGATTAGCGCGTTGGACTCAGGATCGAGTGGTCTGGGTTCGAGCCCTGGCCTGGCTCACTGTGTTGTGTTCTAAGGCAAGACATTTTACTCTCACTGCGCCTCTCTCCACTCAGGAGTATAAATGGGTACCGGCGAACTGTTAGGAAAACCTGACAAAAATGCTGGAGGGGGGGGGGGGGGGAGGGGGAGGGATAACCTGCGATGGACTAGCATCCCATCAACAGGGCCGGTAGCAATACTCCTAGTCGTTTCATTAGCGCTACGGAAACCGGAGATAACTGTAAGAGAGAAGGTGTCAAATGATCTTTTTATTTGTTTTAATTAGTTTCACTAACTAAGTTAATTCACTTCGTTACCGTACACTACAACATAACTAAAAGCTATGCATTGTGTAGTGTCGTAATACGTATGTCCAAAACTATACTGACCTTTTGAAAAGGTCATACATTTAGCACACACCAAAAAGAAAAAGAAATAAAGCCAAACCATATAAACAGAGAAAAGCTAAATGATCAAAAGAAGATTTCTACTTATGGTTGAAAATTTTTCTTGGTTATCGAAATTGGAACTCATTATTTAGAAAAATATATGGTACCCTATTTTTTATATTTTTCGACATTTACAAGATAACTAAAATTAACCCCACACCCGTGAGTTATGTGAAGAGTTTTACCACGTCGCCTTGCGACTAAATAAATACCCTCTATTCTCCAATACTAAGATCAATATTTTTTTGAACTTGATAATTTGGGAAAATTGTGTACTATTTGAAAGAGTGATTCGCTGTAATGTAATGGATGCACTTATATACACAATGTTTTTGCATTTACGGGCTCCCGAAATTTCGTCCAGGTACTTGGCTCTCTGACACGTTTCAGTGTGAACGACCGTATCAGTACAGTGAATGACAAACGAGTTTCTACTTTAAAAAACCGGTTCGGCTAGTTCTCTGAAAGTACTGCCAAGATCCTCCGCTGACCAGCAAAACTCATTCTCGCATGCTGAGTCGCAATATTGTCAACAACAAGTACGTCACCATTTCGCCAACGAAAACCGACAGCGCATGACCAAGTGACGGTTCTTATGTGCTGAAGGATCGCGGGCTCAATTTCGCTGCCGTCGCCATAGTATGTCTGGCAAGAGTAGTGATGACTGGGTAAATCCGAGCCCTTGTATCTGAGGAGGAAACAGAGAAATATTAGATAACAGAGTAGATTATAAAAATATAATCAAGCCGTACTCGATCTTCAGAGGATATAGGTGAAGTTGCATCTGCAAACGCATCGCGCAGAATGCCTGGACATCATTAATATTCATAATCGGCGAAGCGGCAAATTCGAATACGAGTGCGCTCTGAATAAGAGAAGAAAGGGCCCAAATTGGCCAAGTAGGGTTAATAAAACTCGCTTTTCTGATTTCCAGAAGTGGTAACTTAAATTGTTTTGAAGAGGAATGTTGTATCTACAATTTAAGCCTAAAACGAAGGAGATTGAGAAAGAATAAATGCTGTTCTTTCGCACTTGAAAATACAGAAAACCGGGCCTCTTTAGTATGGAGGAAGTTTTCAAAAGCGATTTTCTGAAAATGTAAACTGCTTTCTAAACTTTCACGCGCGGCAAATGGAAGATTGAGCTTTTCTTGAACAGAATCAGTTTTACAGATTCTATGATTAGCAGAAAAGCGTTGTGCGACGACACAACAGCTGCAAAGTAGTCTAGAGACTATATGGTCCAACACAAATGAACTATAGAAAACAAACCTTGGTGCCTGTTGCAAGTGCGAAGCATGATGGGATTGAATCTGGTTAAACCAAACAGTCTCCCCAGTCTCCGGGTGTTTGAGGAAGGCCGGCAGAACTTGCCAATAAAACAAGGCTCCGGAAGGCTCCCACTTAAAACTGAAACCCTTTTCTGCAGAAAGTGTTCCGCTATCTGGAATAATGAAAAGAGTTAGTGTGTATGAAGTGCCACTTTTTCTCGCAATCACTTTAAGGAACAGATTTCTCAGGGAAGGCGCGCATTTATTGTCTAAATCGTTCATCATTAATTTCCTACCTTGGGGTCCTCTGTCATAAACACATCTTGCCAAGGAAGGTAGGCACCAGGCCCTCGCGGAGGAGCGTAACGCACGTAACGCACCTTCTTATTGGCGAAATTTTGAACAACTTTAGGATCCAGGCGAGAGAGTATGTCGGTACTTTTAACCAGCGGCGTCTCTCCTCCACAGTCCTCTCCCGGTTCTTGTTGGCAAAAGAACAAAAGCTGTGACATGAACAGAGTGACAAATCAGTACGGAAGAGAATGGGTCCATTATAGGCCGAAAGCATAATATCAAAGTGTTTTGTTGCACAGTGTATCAAGGTTAAAGGTTAAAGTCTGTCTGCGAGCCAAGTGGTTTATCAGGCTAACGCTCTGGTTTCCATAGCATGAAACGACAAACTCCCCCCCTGGATGGGATGCTAGTCCATCGCAAGTAACCGCCCTGCGCTGGTACCCATTCATACTGGTACTTCTGGGGCCGGATTCACGAAGGGCTTCGTGAGCCCCTAGGTGCCTAAGAAGACAACAAAATGACCCCAGCCAGCGCTCGATCTGGAGTCCAACTCGCTAGCCATTAACCATTTCACTCCCAAAAGTGCTAATCTCAAAACTAAGGAAAAAATCAATCTTGAATTTCATGTTGCAAAATTGTCGAAAACAAACAGCACCACTTGAAAGTACTGCTCAATAGCTTTCGTTTGAATGGTCATACACTAGAGTTCCATACACAGACTCAAAAGTTACAACCACATTTATTGACTCAAGGTTTGACTCTGGGCAAGGGTTAGGCCATCGCATCTCCCACGCGCCTTTGAGAGGTCTTTTTATTACCTTAGATGGATATACAGGACTATAAGCCATCTCATTGTGATGCTCTATCACAGCTTGGGGCGGCTCATCGCTGGCTGTATATGTCCCAGAGTTCCTATCGAGCTCCTGCCGTTCCACCGCGCCTCCTTGATACGTCATGCCTTTGTAACCTAGCCCTTGAGTCAGGCTGGAAAAGTCATCGGCTGTTTTCAGTGGGAGGTTACGAAGCAAGACAGCACCGTAGTGCGTGAGTTTATCCTTCAGATATCTTCTGCAACTGACAACACAATCATCCATGGAGTGTAGACCGGGGTTTTCGATTCTTACGGCGTGCGGGAATGTTTCCGTAGGGGGTGATAGGAGTTCCGGGAATCCATCCCCGGAGGAACCCGGTAAAAACTCTTTGCCCGCCAATCTTGAGGGAGTGGTGGGTTGGATTTCTGCTGGTTTTAACGTGGTGAACTGCGGGCTCACATGGTTAAGTTCCTGTGCGTGTGTTGTCAGGGAACATGTTGGTGAGGTGCCCAGAAGAGCTGGTGAGAACTTGAACCTTCGAAGAGATCGCAACAGCATGTCTTCAGTGCTGTCAGCTATGCGGAAAAACTACATAGAACAAAGAAATATTCCAGTTAGATCAGTCATTCCATATTTAACCTGTTAACTGTCAGAGAGTAATCAACATCTCATTTCTCCTGACGTCAAGCGGACATAGAGTACTAAACTTATGACGTCACAAAAATTAAATTTGCGAAATTATGAAATTTAATCAGCTATCAGGAGGAAGCATGCCAAAAAACGTCCACTTGCTGAAAATTAGCTCTCCGAGATGTGGGCACTTCAGGTTTTAATTTCTCCATACAAACCCCTGCGTCTGTTTTCCTTCAGTTTAGAACCGGCGCAAAATTAGAGAGGTTTGTATGGGACAGTACCAAACTTTGAACCTCTATATCTTCTGTTCTATTCGTGCTAACAAGTTGAAATTTTGTGGCTGATCATACAGCGGCAATCTTTATCTAATGATGGGATTTTGAGGCTTGATAAAAATAATTTGAAAATTTGTGACGTCACACTTTACATATATAACGAAAATCATCAATAAATAATCACACGGTATGGAAACAAAAAATGACGTCAGCAAAGATAACAACAAATAATCAAAGGAATGGTACGAAAACCGATCATCTGATCATGATTAGAACCGGTGACCAGAAAATATCAATTCATGTAAGTAATGCATTAAAAATTATCTAAGAAAGACTACTACGGTACAATAATTCGCAATCAGTGGCTTCATAGCTCAGTAGTTCTCAGGTGTAGAGCGTTTGCACCGGAATCGCAAAGGTTATGGGTTGGAATCCCGTTGGAGCCTCGGTATATCAGATATAACTGCGAAGATCTCATACTCTTTCGTTCTTTCCCGAAGCTCACATATTCATATAAAAAACATAGTGAAAAAGAAATATCGTCCTCATTTCCGCCCGAGAAACACTAAATGGATTTTTGTTTTCGTTTGAGAGCGCCGGTGAGGTCTGACCTAACGTCCGCTTGTTTAGAATGGTCAAGCATGTGATGTCCGGTACTTTGACACGGCATAGTTATATAGATATTGATTTACGAAAATAAGGAAGCAAAGCATGGAAAAATAATCACATTCTTGGATTTGTTTAACAGAATACGGAGGTTTTTAATTTATAATGAATATGAGATGAGAAATCGTGGCAACTCCTATTCATCTAGGGTGCCCTAGTCTCCTACGCAGCCGTTATTTGTGTCGTCACGCAACGCTTCTCCCCTCTAGTGGGGAGAAGCGTTGCGTGACGACACAAATAACGGCTGCGTAGGAGACTAAGGGTGCCCCGGTTAGCCGAGTTTCTGTCCAAGAAGGGTTAACCTGGTCCGGTTGCGAGATAAGGGTAATGTAACCCTTATCTTTTTGCATGTAAACGGTCTCTTTGCTAGAAGATGCCGACTAATGTGTAAATTCCGAACCGTAAGAAAAACAATAAAAAAAACGCTTAATCCGAGCTGTTTCCGCTGGAATGGCTGCTAACGCATCTGACAACAAATATTATTTTAGTTTGGCGGACGAAGACTCTATAAGAACTTGGACATTGAAATATAGGCTATTGCCTGAAGGTCTTAATTTAATAAAATCATAGTTTGTTTCATTTATTTGGAGCTAGAATAGGTTGGTATTCCTACGCCGCG